TGAGAACAAGAGAGAGACTTTCTTATAGTTATTCCTACACCAATACTGTGGTATAGTCCAAACGTTACACAGTACATTTCTGCTTCCTGCTCTCAATAAGTTTTACAAGCACCTGACATGGTGTATATCAACCTAGTCTCAGAGTATTTCATATTATTCTGTATGTTTATCCGAGACACTCCATTTAGTATGATATGATACTTTTCGTATGGTATGTATTAATTTGTGGATGTCCATCATCCATTTCGTATGACATGTTACGAATTACATTCCGTATGATATGTTACCAATTACAATATGTTCCGAATTTGCTAAAGTACAATATGTTAGAATTTGAAAAACTTACAATATGTTACGAATTTGCTAAATGTATGATATGTTACTGATTCCAATTTGTTGTGGCTAACATTAGCTAGGTGGCTAATGCTAACGTTAGCTAGCTAGCTAACATTAGCTAGGCTAGGGGTTAGGGTTAAGGTTAGTAGTTAGGTTAAAGGGTTAAGGTTAGGGTTAGGGGAAGGGTTAGCTAACATGCTAAATAGTTGCAAAGTAGCTAAAAAGTAGTATGTAGTTGCAAAGTTGCTAATGAGCTGAAATGCTAAAGTTATCCATGATGAGATTCGAACACGTTAACCTTTGGTTTGCTAGACGGTCGCGTTATACACCCACCGAACCAACCAACCAACCAACCAACCCTCCTTTTGTTTCTTGTCTTATGTAACCATACCAAACGCAACATATTCTAATTTCAGTGGCCCGGCTTTACATTTACTATGTTACGTCTAGTCTATCAGACCATGCTGTGTAGATAAGGGAGACCATGAGCACAAAAGGGACTGCAGTCAATAATGAAGGAAATTAATAAATCATAAAGCTATGGGAGTGGAAAAAAAGAGTGGCAAAGAAAGAGAGCAAGAATAAGACAGCGCTGGACAGTGAAAGAAGAAAGAGCAGGACAAATGGAAGCGGGGGAAAAAGGAAGGCGACGTTTCCAGAAGGAAAGAGGGAAGCAGAAATTAAGGAATTTAACATGAGAGAGAGACAGAGAAAGACAGCGCTAGATTAAAAGAGACAGAGACAAGAGAGACAGCAACACCGGAGAGAGCTGATGAAGAGAGAGATAAGCCCACCACATGAGGAACCAGCATTGTGATTGTAATACTGCTGATTGATTGTTAACCGTGTGGCAAGAATGGGGGGCCTTGAGGGGCAGCTGGGCCTGAGGGGAGGGAGCAGAATAGGGTGTTTGAGACAGGCAACAGTCTGGCACAACAGTAACGGCTGCTTGGACTGCAGTCGGAGGATATCAAACCTTTCAAACCTCCCTCTCCACACATACACTCTTGCACTTAAACACACACACGCCCATACACACACTCTGCAGGCCAGCGACAGCTCCATCAATCTCATTGGCTCAGTGTCTGCACACAGCAGCTGTCAGTGCACAGGCAGGGAGGTCGCAGGCTGCAACGACAGGTTTAAGAAAAGGGAGAGAGAGAGAGAGAGGGGGGGGGGGGGAAGTGTGTGGATGGAAAACATGGAGGATGAAGAGAAATAGATAAGAGCAGACACGGGTCAAGCAGCTGACATATTCAGGCGCCGTGCTCTGAGTGCCGCGGTGGCCCTGTAATGGTCAGTCATTTGGGCCGTAATGGTGTGTGGACGGCTGGACACCCTGTCTGTCCGCAGAGGGCCATCGACAGCGACCTCAGTACATTAGATGGATGGGCTCCATCGATCTTCCCATCCACCGTTTCATAAACTCAATTAAATTCAAGCACTCCTGAAGAGGAGCTGCATAGTCCCCCTGCACTGCCATTCTCCCATTTGGAAGGAAATCAGGCACCCTTTACTTGAAGGTCACATCACACCCTGGTGGCCAGAAGAGGTAATGCAGGAAATAAAAAAGGATTTGGTTCCCTTCCATGTCTGAAGTGTACCTCCGTCAATCAACTCATTTTGCCGCTCTACCTCTACAGGACTCTTTTATCCCCAAAAATGTCAACCGGAGGGTTGTCATTTGTCAAATTAATTCCAGAGAGATTGCTTCAATGCCCCAACAATGGCAGGTAGGTAGAAAAAATTTGAGGGGTGATCTGTGATGGAGTAGTGGGTGGAGGTAGACAGCCCATAAAACCTGATGGATTATTTCAGCGCAGAAAATCAATTAAATGTGGAGGAATTCAGTGCGATAGGACTTAAGTGGGATGGGAGGGGGCATGATGTGGGAGGACGGGGCGGGGTGGGTCTCGAGTGACATTTTCAATTAGCTTGCAGAAATAAAGTACCTTACTCAGTACTCAGAGACCTGCACACTATTGTTTCAGCCTCAATTACACTGGAAAGACGTTAGACTTCTTCACTGAGAAAATAAAAGCTTACACAGTTTAATTTAGCTAATTAGCCAGAAAGTTCATTGGGGTTCCAGATTGGTTAATTCAACTAAAGGGACAATATGGGAGGGGCCAGAGGAGAACTAGAGAGCCTTCAAAGAATCCTTTAATGGTTCCTCAAATAACCGTTTGGGGTAACTGCTTACTGAAAGTGTCCAGAAGCCCCTGGGATCTTCATTGAAGAGGTAATGGAAGAGGATGGCTGCTGTGACTGAGTCCTGTAAGGTTTTTGAGAAAGCATTAAATAAAATGTGTAGAAAGATGATACATGTGATCTACATAACATGCGGAAAACCGATACCAATTGTATATACCTTTGTGTGCGTCCTCGTCAGTATACCTGCAGACACACAGACAAAAAAGTGAGCACATGAAAGTGGGCAGTTGCAAAGCAGGGTCTGTATCTATGGGCTAGTTGTAATAGTGTGTCATTCTAGGGCAGGGATCATCAACTAGATTCAGCCGCGGACCGATTTCTTCTTGAGTGGATGGTCAGGGGGCTGGATCATTTTTACAAATAATTGCCAAAACAGATGTAATATTTCACTAAAACAATTTCTAGCCTTGCTTACATTTGTATATGAACACATACTGTATATCTCTCTATTATGCATGAGAATTCTTTGGAACAGATTTCCAAAATTAAAATCACTTGAAGCTGATTTGCTGGTGTTTTTACAGTCTTTTATGTCCAACAATAAAATAATGATATATCCCCCCCCCAAACATCCACACTGTAAACAACAATTTTTATCACATTTTTATTTAATCAACTATTTTCTAAAAAGAAGAAAACATAAATGTCAAAATATTCATGAAGAAGCCCAACCAGTTTCCCTCCCCAGAGCAATCCCCAAATCCCTCAAGTTTTGAAATGTTTCAGAATCCCTAATACAGCAGATCAGGGCTGACTGGTCTACAATCCTCCTATCATGGGGGGTTTGCCATTCAAGAGCACCAATCAGGCCACCATAAGGGCAAAGTCAAACAGGAGGATATACTGGACAGAAACTGCCTGACCACCCCCACCACAAACACAGGAGAAGTGAGAGAGAAGGATATCCTGAATGTCTGTTTGTGGTGATATGCAACAAACCATGAAAAGGATAAATACATTCAAACAAGCAAGCAATGCTCAAATTGAGCATGTGCGCATGTGTGTGTGCAGTGTTGTGTGCGTGCTAGTCTGAGGCCGTGCAAATGGATATGGATACAGAGTTCACACTTGACAGAATATGTCACAGTAAACCGTGTACTGCGTAGTGCTCCATTACCTAAAATGGAAAACACTGTGCGTTATAATACATGTTCAGTGTCTAAATTGGTATATTACAGTAAGAATTTATAGGGAGGACTTTATTAAAAATCACATATTTTGGCAAAGGTACTGATACAGTACATATTAATAATACAATCCTGATGTAAAGGGGCATCCAAAATAATAACACAGCATTCGTGATTCACCAATGCAGCTCCTGGTTCAGTAGGCATCACCATAATTGACAGTACATAATTGACGGAGTGGACTACAGTATACACGTAATCTCTGCATACTTCATTGCTTATATAGGTTCAAATGAAACAGAAACATTTCCATCTTTGCAATCTCTTAACCCTAACTTACTTTAGCTACAGTATTAGCTGACATATAGTTCAGCGCGTATATGAAAATGAACGTACGTCCAGAGGAGATAAAGTCCAATACGTAGCAGTAAAACCTCTTTAAAAAAGCAGGTTCTCATTTTTATCAAATATATAAAATCCCATCACGTCTGTCATAATGTTCTAGAGCAATATCATTAAAGCTAAGAGAGTAAGACCATGTGTTCTAAAACATGAAATCATGTTTCCATATATATCCTAAAATACATCCCATATAATGGGCAAAAATATATCATAGTCAAATATCACTGTCTGTGTCTCTCTCCTCTGTACCAGGCTCCTCCTGCAGTTATCCTACTCAGTCAGAGCTGCGGTCACCAGACTGCTACACTGGAGCCATGGTCTGACTCCCATCCTGGAGGACACCTGCATGCATTCTTGCTAACAAATAGCTACTTCATTCTCCTTCACCTTGTCTTCCCTGATCATCTCCTCTAAAGTTTTAATGAAAATAAGTAGGTTGTGGTTTTTTAAACCCTAAAGCTGCTAGACAGACATGATTGTGGTCTTGTTATCACATCATTGGTTCAACATTGTTACAATATCTCCATACTATTACTACTAAGGGCAATAATAAACATAGATAATAGTCTAGATAGGTAGCTATGGTAAGCTGCTGACTGGCTCGGATGAAGGAGCATCATCAACTCCTTTTTCCTAAATTCAAAACAAACAGTTAGTTCCCTCCGATCCACAGGGTTTGTTAACAAAGGTATTACTGTATAAGCTACGCATGCAAGAGGGCCTGCCTTATAGAACGTAAGGGTCTACAGATAATAAGTCTATAAAAGTGTATGTCAGTAAGAGGGACTGAGTTCAGAGTGCAGTAGAGTTTAACAACCCAGTGTGTTTTTGAGTCATTGTACGTTGAGAAAAGAGAGAGAGTGCTTTACAATGTAACATCAGCATCCATCCGTGTGGATGACACTGTAAGACTGCCCAGGGCTATAAGCAGGAGTCCCAGTGGAGCTGCAGGTCTGAACTGTCCAGGAAGTCTGCTGAGAAGACGCTGGGGGGCGTGTGGGGGCCCAGGGGACCCAGTGGGGCGAGTCCTGGGACCTCGCTGCTCGCCCCACCCATGGTGATATCCAGCCAATCCATGCTGTCCAGGGCATGGTCTCCGAAGTCCAGGCCAGGGGGGTTGGCCGTGTAGCCCGACAGCTCATAGGTGTCCATGGGGGAGGACGTGTGGTCCAGGATGCTGGGGGTGCTCAGCATTTGACTGTGGAGGTCGTCAATCAGGGTCAGGGGCCCGCCAGGCTCCAACCCCAGGAGGGGTTTGCCCGTGGTGCTCTCCAGGAAGTCCTCCAGACGTCCACTTCCTGTGTTGCTAACGTCCTGGTCAACGGTGGCCGGCACCTGCAGCTCCTCCTCCTCCTCCTCCTCCTCCTCCCCTGGGACCGGCTGGGGGGTCTCGGGTTCGGGAGGGGTGGGGGGCGAAAAGTGGAGTTGCAGCTGGAGAGGGGAGGGCGCCTGAGAGGGAAGGGGAAGGGGTGTTGGGGCGCAGTCGCAACAGGGACGGGTCGGGCGCTGGTTTGAAGGTGGCTGAGATTTCTGGGAGAGGAGGAGATAGAAGAAATGTAAACCATAAGTAGGAGACAAATATTGAATCAGGAAACCAGGAGGAGCTCTCCTTCTCTATCGGCATTCAACACTCACCTCCAGTCTGAATCAGGATGTCGAAGAGGTCGTCCATATGCTGGGTGGATCCATTATCCTGCGGGACAGAGGGATAATAGTATGTCCTGACACAGCCACTGAGGTGAGAGGTGGATACAGAATACAGAGGAGCAAGAGTCTTGGCATGGTTGGCCATAATGAGACCTCTGAGACACAAACATGGAAACAGTGATGCAGCCAGACGGCGTGGGTTACCTTGTCATCCGGTGGGTTAGGGGAGGGTGTCCGTTTGGGAGAAGGAGGGCTGAACAGGGGTTCATGGTCCAGACCTGGACTCAAATCCTCCTGATGGAAATATAAAAATAACGGTTTGTTCTCATGTCCTAAAAATGTATACTATTAAACTTGTCCCTTTAGAGAACTGCAACTACAGTACAACTTTTAACAAGTTCACAATTACCGTTTGAGATGGAGGAGAGGGGGAGGTGTCTTTTTCAGAAGGGGAGGAGTCATCATTGGGGAAGAAAGGCTGGAGATTGGGCGGGGCAGAGAAGGAGAGTGTGACCCCTGGGGAGTGATTGGTTGACACCTGCAGCCCAGTCTTCTGTCCCTAAGCAAAATGGGAGATAAATCTTAATTAGCTGAGATTCAAATGAGCTGAAAGCACAAAGATGAGGAATTTCATTACAGTAATTACCAGAATAATAACCACTATTACTTTACATTAGTTAACAGCTCTCTTATCAAGGATGCTGTCAGTGTCTTACAGGGTATACATCATTAATTCATAACACAGATGGTTATTGGAGTCATCGAGGCAATTCTGAATGACTCTCGCATTTAAATGGGACATTAGCAACAAGCCAGTCACCACCATAATGGAGGCTCCATTGACCGCTGTTGAATGGACATCCTACATATCAAGTAGATGAAATGACTTTTATAACCTTTCCCTTACCTTTCTGGTTTGCAGTTTCACATGGCCTGGTTGAGTTGTCGGTTTTGATTGGGTGTCACTGCTGGGACAACTGAAGAGGGGATTGGCTGGGCAGCTTGGTGGGAGTTGACTGCAGTCTCTGGTTAGACCAAGGAGAGAAATAGTGTGAGAAGAAAAGTAAGCAGCACAAGGGGTATGTCCCTAAACAAAAACATTAGGTTTGAGTGAAAAAGGGATTGAAATGTTTACCTGCAGTGTGATGTGATTGGTTGCTTTGCCCTGTGGAGTGCCTTGTGGCGTATCACTCCCTTGGCTCTCGGCACAGTGATTGGTCAGTGCGATGAGGAAATGGTTGCCGTTGCTGTCTGTCACCAGGGTAGGTGTGGAGTGTGTCTTGAGGAGATCCAAGGGGAAGGAAGTGGTGGAGCCCGACTGCTGATTGAGGAACATCTGAGTCACCTGGAAGAGACCAACAGCATTAGTCAGTGAGAGACTAACACAAGGTGACAGACTATTTTGACTGGGATCGCATTTGTTTTTCTGTCACTATCAGCAGCTCTTATTGTGACTAGCCATTGAGTTGGTTTGACTGCCACTGACCTGTTGTGACTTCAGCTGCTGTTGTTGTTGTGCCTGCAATATCTGCTGATGTTGATGCTTTGACTGTAACAGCTGTTGGTTCTTTGATTGTATCTGCTGTTGTTGGGACAGTAGCTGTTGCTGCTGTTGTTTGAGCTGTTGCTTGTGGGACTTCTTCTTCCTCTGCTGTGAGCGTTGTTTCTGCAGATTCTGCTGGTTCTGCTGTAGGAGCAGCTGCTGCAGGGCCTGCTGCTGGGCCAGCTGCAGCGCGTTGATCTGCTGCGTCTGCTGCAGCTTCAGCTGTTCCAGCTGCGACCGCTGCTGCGCCTGGATCTGCTCCAACTGCACCTGGACCTGCTGAGGTGGGGCTTCCAAGGATGGCTCCACGGCCTCTTCCACGTCCCCGACCTCCTGCTTGATGGTCATCTTGGTGACCTCCATGTGGCACTGGGGAGGGGTCGGGGAGTGGGCCAATGGGGCAAAATGTGGAGGGGATGCTGGGGATGTCTGGTGGCTCTTCCTTCACCCTGATGAGGCCCAGGGGTTCTGGGGGGGCGTCCCGGCCCCCTCTCTTGCCCTGCTCCAGCTGGAAGCGCAGGGTCTCCACCAGCCGCTGTTTCTGCCTCAGCATGCACGTCAGCTCCTCGATCTGCTTGTCCTTCTCCTGCAGCATCTGGTCCTTGTTCACAGAGGGGGGTGCTACTTGCATGGCTGTGGGCATCAGCAGGCGTTTCTGCAGAGCAGCTTTGGAGAACTGGCAGGCTGTGGGGGCCGAGCCACTCAACTCCTCTTTGATAGTGGCAAGGTGCTGGGGGGAAGGATGAAGGCTGAGCTGGGTGAGGGGAGAGCTTACCTATTTGGAAAGAGAAAAGTAGAGTCTCAAGATTCAAACCATAAAAACGGATTTGATATCTGATATCTGTGCACTATAAAAACTGTAAAAAAATAAATAAGGACACATCTAACATAGACTTGTAAAGAAAGGAGACCTACCATCTCCCCAAATGCGTCTCCATTACAGCTCGTCTCGTTTGGGCTCATCCCAGCTAGCGAGCGGTCTGAGGGGGCAGGAGAGACAGGCGGGGAGGAGCTAGTGCTGCCAAAGTGCATGATCTGCTGTGGAGCAGTGGCCACGAACGGGAAGGTTGCCAAGGTTACCACACCTGCATCTCTTGATTGGTGGACCACAGAGGACTGGGTCTGGTGTTGGGAAAGTTGCTGTTGCTGCTGTTGTAGTAGTAGTAGTTGTTTTTGTTGTTGTTGTGTTGGGTGGTTGGTTTTGGGAGCTCCGGCACCTGACCCTGTGGCACCCCCTGCTGTTGTAGTTGTTGCACTACCACCACCTCCACCCCTGTTCTGCTGAGCCTGGTAGTTCCTCAACCGCTCGATGAGGTCATTCTTGGTGCCTGATACAGGCAAGCTCCGCAGTTTGAGCTCATGCTTCAGTTCAGCCACCTGGAGGACAAAAGAAGGTGTCAGAATGTGAAATGTTTAGACAGTTGGTTTTGTCAACACAGTCAACTCTTGACAAATGCAACGGCTTTTACTGACCTTCAGGTCGTCCAGGTTAGGAGGCAAAGAACCTGGTGTGGCCCCTCCCACATGTGTGACATTCTGCCGGATTGGTGCACTTTGACTGGAGGAGGATGTCGAGGGGGCGGGCAAGGCCAGAGAAGGAGAGGGGCCATTGGTGGGAGGTGGTTGATCTGTTGGGGGTCTGAAGAGAAAAAAGAGTCAAAACAATGATAGGATACAGGCTGGAGTTGGTGGGTATGTGAAGCAGTTGTATACACACATGCGCAAACACACACACTCACTTGGGTGGTGCAGGAAGGATGGTGTGGTAGTTGTAGTGTTGCTGCTGCTGGTTGAGGATCTGCAGCTGGAGGAAGAGCTGCTGCTGGTGGAGGATCTTGGCATAGGTGGAGTCCAGCTGAGGGGGAGGCTCGTGGTCAGCCTTCTGGTCCGGGGGGATGTACTGGTGGTACTTCAGCTTCCTCACCTTGGGCTTGTTGTCCTTGGCCTTCTTGGATCGCTGAGGGGGGCGCTCTGAGGTGGGTTTAGGCTGGGACTGCAGGGAGAAAGATCAGTGAGATGTAGTAGATTAAACACTGGACTAGCCTACTGTAAACAATAGAAGTAATGCTAAACTAATAATACAAATACAATGGGCTTTGGTACAATACTAATAATTAGCTGTGACAGCTGCCACTAACCTTGATCAGTGCAGGGGCGGTTCTCAGAACTGATGTCCCATTGCTCAACTTCAGCGGTTGGCAGGGCCCATAGAAGGGAGGAAGAGGAGGGGGTGGCGGAGGAACCTGAGTGAGAAACTGTGTGGGGGAGGGGGTGCTGTTGCAAACCAGGGCGTCGGGGGGAGAGGGCAGAGGGCCGGGGCCCAGGGGAGAGTCCTGACCAATGGGCTGATCAGGAGAGAGAGTATCACTACTGTCCTCATCAAAGGAGGAGATCTCCCCAGCGACCTTGGGGAAGTCTGTCTCTGAGGGAGAGAAAGAGGGATAAAGAGAAGACCGACAGAACGAAAGAGTGAAAAGAGAGAAGTGGGAAAAAAAGAGGGAGATAAAGTGTTAGAAAGTACAATAATGAGCCACCAGTGACAGTTCGTATAAAGCAACAATCTACCTTGCCTTCGTTGTTGTGATGTAGTGTGAGAGAGCCATGTAAAAGAAAACAGGCTTTGTGTCAACATTAGCCATGTCATCATTCCTCTCAGCAGCCAGTCAGTCTGTTTAGTCAGTCAGTCAGCATCAACAGAGGTGCCTGCAGTGGCAGCAGGAGGAGGTGGAGGCCTGCTGGGCCCGGGGCTTTATCATCACATTGTATATGGCTGGTACATCCCCATGTCTTTGATAAAGACCATTATGGATCTTTTATTTACTGACGGCAGGCAGGCACTTGGAGCGCTCAGCGAGCACCGTTGGCTATTCATTTACCATCAGTGGGAGATGATGAATAACCAATATGGGGTTTGATTCATTATCTTCCTGAACCAATCATGTGATGGCTTCCCCTTTGCACCACTGTGTGTGTGTGTGTGTGTGTGTGTGTGTGTGTGTGTGTGGCTGAGTGTGGAAAACAGCACAGGTTTAGGTTATGTCCCTGTTCTCTGTGTGGATATTACATTTACATTTTAGTCATTTAGCAGACGCTCTTATCCAGAGCGACTTACAGTTAGTGCATACATTACTCTTTTTTTCATACTGGCCCCCCGTGGGAATCGAACCCACAACCCTGGCGTTGCCAACGCCATGCTCTACCAACTGAGCTACATCCCTGCCGGCCATTCCCTCCCCTACACTGGACGACGATGGGCCAATTGTGCGCCGCCCCATGGGTCTCCCGGTCGCGGCCGGCTACGACAGAGCCTGGATTCGAACCAGGATCTCTAGTGGCACAGCTAGCATTGCCTGTAATTTGATTGTTGTTATTAAGAACCGCCGACAGCCAGGCAATCCCCTGAAATTAAACCATGCTGGAATCTGACGCTCAGACATGTTTCTTTCATCTTCACAGCAATCAATCTATTTTCCATAATTTCATTTATCTCACGGTTTAACACCACAGTAGAGACTACCTGTTATGTGAACTCTAACCCAACCAATTGTGCCAAGTCATGTCCTGATGCGTGCACACACCCACCCACACACAAAAACGGACACTTTCTCACATTTTATAATGTTGTGTGAAATTGAATCAATCTGTTTCTGTGAACCGTGCACGCACCAATGCGAAAAAACATTAGTATGATTAATATAACTTGGTTAATTCGCGAAACTAGCACCCATGAGGGGCCCGCGGTGGAGAGGTGGGCAATGAGGTTGGCCCCTGCTCATCAGACAGTCATGAATTTACAGTATATGTGTAAATGCACATGTAAGGTTAACAATGATATCTCCATGCATCTGAAGCCAGGCAGGACCCTTCTAGATGGGCACGGTGGGAAAATACCTATGTGAACATCAATATGTTCATTATGGCTGGAGGAGGAGATGGCCGGGAGGGACTATCAGATGTTCTCAAGTTAACACACATACATACATACAGTGGCTTGCGAAAGTATTCACCCCCCGTGGCATTTTTCCTATTTTGTTGCCTTACAACCTGGAATTAAAATGGATTTTTTGGGGGTTTGTATAATTTGATTTACACAACATGCCTACCACTTTGAAGATGCAAAATATTTTCTCTTGTGAAACATACAAGAAATGAGACAAAAAAACAGAAAACTTGAGCGTGCATAACTATTCACCCCCACCAAAGTCAATACTTTGTAGAGCCACCTTTTTCAGCAATTACAGCTGCAAGTGTCTTGGGGTATGTGTCTATAAGCTTGGCACATCTAGCTACTGGGATTTTTGCCCAATCTTCAAAGCAAAACTGCTCCAGCTCCTTCAAGTTGGATGGTGTACAGCAATCTTTAAGTCATACCACAGATTTTCAATTGGATTGAGGTCTGGGCTTTGACTAGGCCATTCCAAGACATTTAAATGTTTCCCCTTAAACCACTCAAGTGTTGCTTTAGCAGTATGCTTAGGGTCATTGTCCTGCTGGAAGGTGAACCGCCGTCCCCGTCTCAAATCTCTGGAAGACTGAAACAGGTTTCCCTCAAGAATTTCCCTGTATTTAGCGCCATCCATCATTCCTTCAATTCTGACCAGTTTCCCAGTCCCTGCCGATGAAAAACATCCCCACAGCATGATGCTGCCACCACCATGCTTCACTGTGGGGATGGTGTTCTCGGGGTGATGAGAGGTGTTGGGTTTGCGCCAGACATAGCATTTTCCTTGACGGCCAAAAAGCTCAATTTTAGTCTCATCTGATCAGAGTACCTTCTTCCATATGTTTGGGGAGTCTCCCACATGCCTTTTGGCGAACACCAAACTTGTTTGGTTATTTTTTTCTTTAAGCAATGGCTTTTTTCTGGCCACTCTTCTATAAAGCCCAGCTCTGTGGAGTGTACGGCTTAAAGTGGTCCTATGGACAGATACTCCAATCTCCGCTGTGGAGCTTTGCAGCTCCTTCAGGGTTATCTTTGGTCTCTTTGTTGCCTCTTATTAATGCCCTCCTTGCCCGGTCCATGAGTTTTGGTGGGCGGCCCTCTCTTGGCAGGTTTGTTGTGGTGCCATATTCTTTCAATTTTTTAATAATGGATTTAATGGTGCTCCATGGGATGTTCAAAGTTTCGGATATTTTTTTATAACCCAACCCTGATCTGTACTTCTCCACAACTTTGTCCCTGACCTGTTTGGAGACCTCCTTGGTCTTCATGGTGCTGCTTGCTTGGTGGTGCCCCTTGCTTAGTGGTGTTGCAGACTCTGGGGCCTTTCAGAACAGGTGTATATATACTGAGATCATGTGACAGATCATGTGACACTTAGATTGCACACAGGTGGACTTTATTTAACTAATTATGTGACTTCTGAAGGTAATTGGTTGCACCAGATCTTATTTAGGGGCTTCATAGCAAAGGGGGTGAATACATATGCACACACCACTTTTCCGTTATTAATTTTGTAGAATTCTTTGAAACAAGTTATTTTTTTCATTTCATTTCACCAATTTGGACTATTTTGTGTATGTCCATTACATGAAATCCAAATAAAAATCAATTTAAATTACAGGTTGTAATGCTACAAAATAGGAAAAACACCAAGGGGGATGAATACTTTTGCAAGGCACTGTACATACATTGAGACACACACACACGCACAGTATGAATATGAATGTGAATATGACGTGACTGGGTCCAATGTGAGCAGGGTTTATATGAGATTTTGTTCAAGTCTGCAGTACCTGTTCCTGATGACCTTCATATAGAGTTTCACTGGGTGGACTATTTTAGCTTATTCAGCAGATGTGCACGTCATGCTAGTGAGCTACTTTGTGAATTGTGGCAATTGGAAACATGGGGTTTCTGGAATGGTGGACTTCTTACCTGTTTGGTGCTGTTGAAACTATAGAATAGGATAGTGATCATGAGAGCTCATTTGCTAGTGTGGCTACATAATATGGAGTGGTATTGTGTCTGCTTGATGCTGCTGCTTTAGTTACCTATGATGGCCTGTTTGATGCTGCTGCTTTAGTTACCTATGATGGCCTGTTTGAGGCTGCTGTGTACCGGCAGAATGTTCTTGTGGATGAGCTCCATGGGGCCGGGCCGGTGGGAGATCTTGTCGTTGAGGTCGTCAGCCAAACGGGCCCTCTTCAGCTGCAGCTGTTTGGCCTGGAGGGAGGGTTCCGCCGACGTCTCTGAACACACAGCACACAGCGGGTTAGCCAGCCAACAACCATCAGGCATGTGATCTTTATCAGGGAACCAGGAAATCAAATGCTTATGTAATGATGCAGATACGAAGATAAACGCACACAGCACAGCTACCAGTTATGGAATGGAAGAGCAAACAATTGTGGGAATTTATTTTGTAGCCTACATTTTTTAGGTGCAGCACCCTATGGCTCAGGGAGGGGGCACAGTCAGAGAAACTCACCCTCCAGAATGTGCATCCTGACCAGCTCCGACCTCTCCGGCCGACTTCGGATCTTCCTCTTTAGGTAGTCTTCAGTCTGGGAGGGGGGAGAAGAGGAAGAGAGAAGAGGAAGAGAGAAGGGGAGAAATGATTCTGTTTTGAACCAGTTCACCTTTGAGAGTCAGTAAAAAAAAGTGTTCATCTGACAGAAACCACAAAGAGTGGGAAGAGTATGAAGGGAAACTCACCCGCGCTCGCTCTAAACTTCTTCTCTGTTCGTGGAAGGCAGCTGGACTTTTCAGCGCTGGAGAGAGAGAAGACATTCAAAGTGTATGTTCATGCTGATGATTAAAAAACAAGTGGCTAGAAGCTTATTATGTCCTCATGTAACAGGCAATGACTTCATAATGTACTTTACATTTTACACTTGAGTAGTCAAAAAGGCATGTATTGTATGTTGAGCTATCATAAGGTACTTACAGTACCTACCTTCTGTGTGGAGAAGTGACATGTAACCTGCCTCTGCATTCAGAGCAGACAAGAGACAGCAAAAAAGAGAGTGCTAGCTAGATTGTCAGTCACACATTAGCCCTCTCTCTCCCATGCTGCAATGCACAGTGTGTGTTCTGACTGGGCGGGTCAGGTCAGTTGGCCCCAGGTCAGCCTCATAGTACCGGCACAAGCCTCAGTTCACCCCGTTGAGCATGGGCACATCACTGTTGCCCCCACACCCCTAGGACGCTACCCCCGTGCCCCCTAGTCTTCGGGAAGGTTACGTGACCTCCTTGGGCAGTGCGGTACCAGCGCACCTGTCTATCAGTGAGGAGAAAGGAGCGGGAGGGCGATGAGGTCAGAGCCTATTTATCTGCATGAGCTCCTGCATCACCGGCCTTCAACCCCCTCGCTGCTGACACACTGTAGTGCCTGCCCTGCTGTTAGGGTACAAGAGAGACTGCTACGTAGCAGTTATAATATGTAACGGCCCTGCTACACTACAGCCATCGGCCGTCCGGCATTGAAATCAGCCATTGAGGGGACGCTTCCTTTGAAATCAATGAAAGCTGCTATACTGCCCGCGTTGCGTTACCTCCAATGGCAGCGTCCAAGCTCAAGAATCGCTGAGGTTCAATTCTCGATGGCTGATAAGCGTGTTCATTCATCTTGTGAATGGTTTCTGGTGTAGCAGGTAGAACGTCACATTGATACAATGCTGCTGGCAACACGTGTAGTGTAGCTGACTTGTAAGGGTCAGAGGCTTCCAATGGTGGAAGAGAGATGCTAATGAAGACCTATCACAGGTGGGCCAATTACTGTACCTCACTTTTTAGAAGTCTTTTGAAGGTGAGAGTTGTTTTGAGAACTCTTTGATGCTATGCTATTCCTGTTACATGTTTAATCTGCCATCTGTGACGCAACTCACAGCTCAGGGAAAGGAGGTTGTTTGTTAATGTAATGTTCGCTCAGAAATTGTTTGACGGGTTTGATTGGTTCTCTCCAAAGTTGTTTTTTCTTCCTTGGGGGTTGCTTTGAAAATCCAACCACTGTAATGGAAGGGGGTGACTCTCGGGGCTGTGAGTGTTTGAGTGAGAAAGACACAGAGGAGAGCCAACAGTAAAAGCACAGCCCCCTTCATTATCGAGGCATTGTGCTGACAACATTAAAGAGCCATTCCAGGCTCTGAAGTCAGGAGGACTTTGAGAGTTAGGTGTTATCCTGAGTAGTTTACATCTGGTTGAAGTCAATTGTTGTGTTTTTATAGTGGAGTTGAACGTGTTTAGTCTGATGCTGGGTGTTTGTCTGTGCAACTAACTGTACAGGAACCCCACTTTCACTCTCTTCCCTTTTCACTTCCTGTCTGGCTTCCTCCCCTTCCTTCTAGTCACAACACCCCATTATGTAACCAAGATGTATGGGCTGAACAAAATGACCCTCATTACACCCTCAAATTGAATTTAATGCAAGATAATAAAACAATAATTGCTGTTGTTCTCATATTCTCATAGTATACCACCCTAATCTTCTTTAATGCAATGTTAACTAGGTATTAATTGTTGAAAGTGTTTCCTGAACCTTCCTTTACCAAATAATCAACCAACATGATTGCGAAATATATCTGGCCTCTTGAGCAAAACACTGTACATCCTTACCACTCACCACTGAAGTGTTGTACATGGTGAAATAATTATTCTTAGTCCTTCCCCGTGGTCATAAATGGACTGACTGTGTCTGTATCTGTGGCTAAGCTTATGAACATCATGGACCATGATGGATTTATGCATGCAGAATAAACGGGAGTCACCTAAGTGCATCTGTGAGCGTGAGAATGAGTGTTTTGTGCATCATGCATGATGGTGTATGGATCATGTCTTCTCTGCAGTTTTACTAGTAGCAGCACACTGTGTCTTAAAGCGGATATAAATAACATGTAAAAGGTAGGACATCACCATGTCTGCTTATTATAGCTCAGTTTCACACAAACACACCCTTACACCACAGCCGGCTAACCATGCATGCAGACGCACAAATACCGTTAATGATTCCAACCATGAGAAACAGTCTTCATGATTCTTATTGAATTCAATACACTGTATGTGATATCACTAGCTATAACATCCATCTAATAAAAACAGCTCATGTCAATCATACAAACAATAATCAACCATCATTAAAACTGTCCAAAATGGACAATAAAGTATCTATTCTATTTTAAAGGTCATTTTGATTCCTGTAATTGCTGGAATATAATCAAAGGCTTGACAATACATTTCATTGTTATCTTGAATTAGAAAAAATGCTTCAAATAGCAAAAATCACATCTCTCCACAGAGACATGAGTGTGTGCGTCCTGAATATGCTTCATTGTTTTCTAGGTTAAAGCGTATAAACTATGGAAAATCCCATTATTTATACTTAGTAATTACATTTTCATACACTCATAACAATGTGCGTAAGCAAACGCATGACTGTTAGCCAATGTCCTAGAATGTTATCCACCCTACAGTGCACATTCAGGCTAATGTTTGGCTGGAAAAAAAGCAAATTGGCTGTACACTATATATACAAAAGTACGTGGACACTCTTTCAAATTAGTGAATTCGGCTATTTCAGCCACACCCGTTGCTGACAGGTGTATATTATTTGAGCACACAGCACTCTCCAAGACAAAATTGGCGAGAATCCTTGCTGAGACTCTGTAACTTTCATGTGGCAGTCATAGGATGCCATGGCCTTGCCTGTAACAAATGCTTGTAGTGGAAACTTCTAGGGCAACACTGTTAAATAGTCAATCAGGACTGTCAATTAGATTCACTCATGTGGCTGTTTTGTTGTACATATTTATCTTTGACACACGGTTATGTTTTTTAAACATTTTCAGAATCCGGCTGAATATGTTCATGATCAATCTTAATAATTGTATAGATGCTGGACATATTACTGAACAAAATAACGATATACAAGTAGTGGACCCTTCAGATTAGTGGATTGGCTATTTCGCCACACCTGTTGCTGACAGTGTAAAAATCAAGCATAAAGCTATGCAATCTCCACAAATTGGCAGTAGATTGGCCTTTGAAGAGCTCAGTGACTTCAACTCGCACCGTCATAGATCCACCTTTCCAACAAGTCAGTTTGTCAAATTTCTGCCCTGCTAGAGCTGCCTCGGTCAACTATAAAGTGCTGTTATTGTGAAGTGGAAACTTCTAGGAGCAAAACGGCTCAGCCTCGAAGTGGTAAGCCACACAAGCTCACAGAACGAGACCGCCGAGTGCTGAAGCGCCTAAAAATCATCTGAGTTCCAAATTGCCTCTGGAAGCAAAGTCGGCACAATAACCGTTTGTTGAGAGATTCATGAAATGGGTTTCCATGGAGCAGTTGAAACGCGTTCTCTGGAGTGATGAATCACGCTTCACCATCTGGCAGTCCAACAGACTAATCTGGGTTTGGCGGATGCCAGGAGAACGATACCTGCCCCAATGCATAGTGCCAACTGTAACATTTGGTGGAGGAGGACTAATGGCCTGGGGCTGTTTTTCATGGTTCGGGCTAGGCACCTTAGTTCCAGTGAAGAGAAATCTTAACGCTATAGCGTACAATCACATTCTACACGATTCTGTGCTTCCAACTTTGTGGCAACAGTTTGGTGAAGGCCATTTCCTGTTTCAGCATGACAAATCCCCTGTGCACAAAACGAGGTCCATACAGAAATGGTTTGTCGAGATTGGTGTGGAAGAACTTGACAGGCTTAAATCGCCAGGCTTAATCCAGGCTTAATCGCCCAACATCAGTGCCCGACCTCACTAATGTCCTTGTGACTGAATGGAAGCAAGTCCCCTCAGCAATGTTCCAACATCTAGTGGAAAACCTTCCCAGAAGAGTGGAGGCTGTTATAGCAGCAAAGGGGGGACCAACTCCATATTAATGCCCATGATTTTGGAATGAGATGTTCGACAAGCAGGTGTCCGCATACACTACATGACCAAAATTATCTCTGAGGCAGCGAGTAGAAAACATTGCAGGCCTCCGATAGAACCAGTCCTCCGGTCAGCAGTGATCAGAGGAGCCTGACACTGAGCATCGCCCCTCCAGCTAACACTCATTTAACTCTTTCTGTATATATTTTTTTTTAATATGGTTCAACCAAAAACATTGCTTTTACATGAGACTACTTCCTCACTGCTCTCTGATTGGCTGGAGTGGTGACACCCTGGGGTTGCATAAGACAGAGGATGTGTCCCAAATGGCACCCTATTCCCTTCATAGTGCACTACACCAAACATTTAAGAGGGAATGAGAGGAAAGAGAAGTGGCTGTCTGCACACTGACAGTACCAGCAGTGAGGACCTATTTTTTTGCAGTATGGTCTGATACTCAGACCTAGAGGTTAAATATGTATTCAGGAGGGAAGCGAGAGGACGAGGGATAGCGAAGGAAGTAGTCAGGAGACATGACGACTCACCTGCCGGCAGGTGGTCGTTAAGCAGAACAATGCCCTTCCTGTAACTGCTACTCTTTCCCTCTCCTCTACTGTTCTCTGCCATCTCCCCACACCCTCTCCTATCCTCTGCACTCTTTCCAACATCCTCCCTCTCTTATGTTGAATGGGACCCTGGCCTTGTTGCCTAGTCTGGCCCCATGCAGACTGGGGTTTGCTCTTCTGATCAATGTAAGAAAGGAGAAGTAAACATAAAAGAGAAGCAGCAATAGCAGATAGAATAAGGCTGAGCAATACATTGCAACAAAGCGGCTACTGTGACTGAGTAACTAATTGTTGCATTTTCACCACTTGGAACGCACAGTAAAGAAATATTCAAATGTATCAAGGCTGTTAGTAGTAGAAGCCTTTTTTATGATGACTGCACACATCCTAATTGAATTCAATCCTGCTGACACAACACTGTGTGCAGTTTCACTTGTTACCAGCAAAGCTTCATGGAGAGTGCCCAGGGATGGAAGACATTGAAGATGACAACTCAAATCCTACTCTAGCCAAGTCTGACAACCACTACACACATCTGTCTGAACAGAGTGTGACTAAATTCAACGGCACCCTTTGTCTCAACATTCTTAATAGGAGTAGATTTCAATTGGTATCTTCTCTAATACTCCAAAAGCATGGAGAATAGGCATTGTTAAATACTTGTCTAAACGCTAAGGTAGTCTGTGTCAAACCATAAGACCTACCCCTTGTGTGGTTCCCTACAGAACAAGGAAAATATGAGCAATTTATAATTGTGTTCTGTTCCTGTAATACTAGGCAGTGTACTGTAAATATGAACAACTTGCAATGCATAGAGAGTAACGTTAGTACATTTGCATTTCCTTTACTGGGCCAAATAGGGATTCGAAAGTGAAGAGAGAAGTGTTCTATTGGCAACTCAAACCCTGACGGGAGGATTATGCACCCTAAAATGAAGAAATGCCAAAGAAAAACAGGTATGTACTGGTTATTATTCATAAACCCAATCGATGAATCTATTCATGTCCATACGAAATGTATATTCCTTTGGTACCTTGTCTCTGAGCTTACTGATGGACAATCTGAATTTTATTTTATTTTTTACCGGCCAAGCATTTGTCTACAATGTATTTTGATATGTACATATATTTACTTTAGCATGGTTTACTTCTTATACAATTTCTGAACCAGTCATTGAATAATGTTCAAAAGTCAATCTTATTTTTATATATACAGTATATATTTCTCTTGACTACTCCAGCACTTGGATTGAAATATACAATGCTATAAGGTTAAAGTGCGGGCTGGGCTTTAATTTTGGGGGATTTATCCATATCGGGTGAACCCGGGCGAATTACAGCACTTTTTTGGATAGACCTGAAAAAACTGTGGAAAGACGCTCCCACCAACCGACAGAGCTTAAAGAGGGCGCGAGAAAATGGGGAAAAAATCCCCCAAAAAAGGGTGCCAAACTTTTTAGGTCATACCCAAGAAAAATCGAGGCTGTAATCGTGCCCCCAAAAAAAAAAAAAAAAGGGTTTTTTTTTTTTCTTTTTCAATGCACCTTCTCAACAAGTCAGTTTAAATTCTTCCCTGCTAGAGCTGCCCGGTCAACTATAATGCTGTATGTAAAGTGGAAACTTCTAGGAGCAACCCGGCTCAGCCGCGAAGTGGTAGGCCACACAAGCTCACAGAACGGGTCTGCCGAGTGCTGAAGCGCGTAAAAATCATCTGAGTTCCAAACTGCTTCTGGAAGCAAAGTCAGCACAAGAACCGTTTGTTGAGAGATTCATTAAATGGGTTTCCATGGAGCAGTTGAAACGCATTCTCTGGAGTGATGAATCACGCTTCACCATCTGGCAGTCCAACAGACTAATCTGGGTTTGGCGGATGCCAGGAGAACGATACCTGCCCCAATGCATAGTGCCAACTGTAACAATTGGTGGAGGAGGAATAATGGCCTGGGGCTGTTTTTCATGGTTCTGGCTAGGCCCCTTAGTTCCAGTGAAGGGAAATCTTAACACTATAGCGTACAATCACATTCTACATGATTCTGTGCTTCCAACTTTGTGGCAACAGTTTGGGGAAGAACATTTCCTGTTTCAGCATGACAATGCCCCCGTGCACAAAACGAGGTCCATATAGAAATGGTTTGTCGAGATTGGTGTGGAAGAACTTGACTGGCCTGCACAGAGCCCTGACCTCAACCCCATCAAACACCTTTGGGATGAATTGGAACGCCGGCTGCGAGCCAGGCTTAAATCGCCCAGCATCAGTTCCCGACCTCACTAATGGCTGAATGGAAGCAAGTCCCCGCAGCAATGTTCCAACATCTAGTGGAAAACCTTCCCAGAAGAGTGGAGGCTGTTATAGCAGCAAAGGGGGGACCAACTCCATATTAATGCCCATGATTTTGGAATGAGATGTTCGACGAGTAGGTGTCCACATACTTTTGGTCAAGTAGTGTATTTCTGAGGCAGTGAGTAGAAAATGTTGCAGGCCTCCGATAGAACCAGTCCTCCGGTCAGCAGTGATCAGAGGAGCCTGACACTGAGCATCGCCCCTCCAGCTAACACTCATTTAACTCTTCCCCACCCTGGGGTTGCATAAGACAGAGGCTGTGTCCAAAATGGCACCCTATTCCCCACATAATGCACTACACCAAAATGTAAAGAGGGAATGAGAGGAAAGAGAAGTGGATGTCTGCACACTGACAGTAGTGAGGACCTATGTTTTTGCAGTATGGTCTGATACTCAAACCTAGAGGTTAAATATGTATTCAGGAGGGAAGCGAGAGGACGAGGGGGAGCGAAGGAAATAGTCAGGAGACATGACGACTCACCTGCCGGCAGGTGGTCGTTAAGCAGACCAATGCCCTTCCTGTGACCGCTACTCCTTCCCTCTCCTCTCCTATCCTATCCTCTGCACTCTTTCCAACATCCTCCCTCTCTTATGTTGAACGGGACCCTGGCCTTGTTGCCTAGTCTGGCCCCATGTTCATGTTCTGATCAATGTAAGAAAAGAGAAGCAGCAATAGCAGATAGAATAAGGTTGAGCAATACATTGCAACAAAGCTGCTACTGTGACTGAGTAACTAATTGTTGCATTTTCACCACTCGGAAAGCACAGTAAAGAAATATTCAAATGTAGCAAGGCTGTTAGTAGTAGAAGCCTTTTCTGTGATGACTGCACACATCCTAATTGAATTCAATCCCGCTGACACAACACTGTGTGCAGTTTCACTTGTTACCAGCAAAGCTTCATGGAGAGTGCCCAGGGATGGAAGACATTGAAGATGACAACTCAAATGACTACTCTAGCCAAGTCTGACAACCGCTACACACATCTGTCTGAACAGAGTGTGACTAAATTCAACGGCACCCTTTGTCTCAACATTATTAATAGGAGTAGATTTCAATTGGTATCTTCTCTAATACTCCAAAAGCATGGAGAATAGGCATTGTTAAATACTTGTCTAAACGCTAAGGTAGTCTGTGTCAAACCATAAGACCTACCCCTTGTGTGGTTCCCTACTGAACAAGGAAAATATGTGAGCAATTTATAATTGTGTTCTGTTCCTGTAATACTAGGCAGTGTACTGTAAATATGAACAACTTGCAATGCATAGAGAGTAACGTTAGTACATTTGCATTTCCTTTACTGGGTCAAATAGGGATTCGAAAGTGAAGAGAGAAAGTGTTCTCTTGGCAATTCAAAACCCTGACGGGAGGATTATGCACCCTCAATGAATGAAATGCCAAAGAAAAACATGTATGCTACTGGTTTATTATTCATAAACCCAATCAGATTGAATCTATTCATGTCCATAACGGAAATGTATAATTTCCTTTGGTACACTTGTTCTCTGAGCTTACTGATGGACAAATCTGAATTTTTATTTTATTTTTTTACCGGCCAAAGCATTTGTCTACAATGTCAGTTTTTGATATTGTACTATATATTTAGACTTTAGACATATGGTTTACTGTCTTATACACATTTCATGAACCAAGTCATGTGAATAAATGTTCAAATGATCAGATCTTAATTTTTATATATACTTAGTATATATTTTCTTCTTTTGAATCTGTACTCCAGCACTTTGGATTTGAAATGATACAATGACTATAAGGTTAAAGTGCAGACTGGCAGCTTTAATTTGAGGGTATTTTCATCCATATCGGGTGAACCGGTTCGAAATTACAGCACTTTTTGGATAGACCTGAAAATAGCTGTGCATCGACGCTCCCCATCCAACCTGACAGCGCTTAAGAGGATCTGCAGAGAATAATGGGAAAAACTCCCCAAATACAGGTGTGCCAAGCTTGTAGCATCATACCCAAGAAGACTGGAGGCTGTAATCGGTGCCAAAGGTACTTCAACAAAGTACTGAGTAAAGGGTCTGAATAGTTATGTAAATGATATATTTCAATTTTTTATTTTGAATATATTTGCTAAGATTTCTAAAAACCTGTTTTTGCTGTCATTATGGGGTATTTTGTGTAGATTGATGAGGGAAAAAATTGATTCAATAAATTTTAGAAGAAGGCTGTAACGTAAGAAAATGTGGAAAAAGTCAAGGGGTCTGAATACTTTCCGAATGCACTGTATATGTGGACATCTGCTTGTCAAACAGAATTCCAAAATCATGGGCATTAATATGGAGTTGGTCCCCCCTTTGCTGCTATAACAGCCTCCACTCTTCTGGGAAGGCTTTCCACTAGATGTTGGAACATTGCTGCGGGGACTTGCTTCCATTCAGCCACAAGCGCATTAGTGAGGTTGGGCACTGATGTTGGGCGATTAGGCCTGGCTCGCAGTTGGCGTTCCAAATCCTCCCAAAGGTGTTTGATGGGGTTGAGGTCAGGGCCAGTCAAGTTCTTCCACACCGATCTCGAAAAACAATTTCTGTATGGATCTCGCTTTGTGCACAGGGGCATTGTCATGCTGAAAGGGTCTTCCCCAAACTGTTGCCACAAAGTTCGAAGCACAGAATCGTCTAGAATGTAATTGTATGCTGTAGCGTTAAGATTTCCCTTCACTGGAACTAACGGGCCAAGCCCGAACAGCCACAGACCATTA